TTCTCTGGATTTAAACATTCTTCGAAACATTTGGGATAATGTAAGTACACAAGTCAGCAAAATATATAACACTGTTTTAGTGGTTTTTGGATATTTTAATAAAAAAATCTTACATATTGTGCCTTTAAGTATCCATCGACATAAGTTTACTTCTTTAGAACATGACAAAAGAATATGAAAACATTATGATTTAAAATGTATTTTAAAGTAAAACGTCTGACATTATTACAAAGTGCACTTTTTAAAAGTGTACTGTGAAACAGTCATGAAAGTGTCTCTCTTTAAAATCACTTAAGTGACCTTTTATTTCCTAATTATAGTACCTGCAAATCCAGTTTTTTTTTTAATATATTCTTTTAAGTTTTGAAGTACTAAACAAGTTAAGCATGTTTTTCACAAGGGGGATAAAATGAATGCTAAGCTATTATAATTATTGGCTGTGTTCCTCAACCCAATGCTACAATAAAAATGTAGGCCAATTAAATTAAAAATGTTAAATATGTTATTTCGAGTTCTGCCATGGTTTTCATGTACATGAAATTCATGTCATGCAAATGAAATCCATTAATTTTTGCAAGGTTTTAATTTAATGCAATACTAATTGGTTTTCAGACTTGCTTGTAGGAGTATGAGCGTGTACGTTTGCTCTCACCGTGCAATCTCAGGATAACCGTCGCTGCACGCCATATGAAGTGGTGTCCAGCCGTTCTCGTCCCTCTGATGAACGTCAGCTCCGTATTTTATCAGAAGCTTCACACACTCCAGGTTTCCTGAGAGCACGGCTTCATGGAGCGCTGCCATTCCTGAGAAAAAGCCAGCTTTTGTTAGGGTGGGCTGCTCAATTTCTCTTTCCTGATAGCAGTGAGGTTAAACCTTTCCAGAAAATACCTCAGACTCAAACAAATGCAATAAGCTCTTTCTCCCTAAACAGACAAATCAAAAACCATTTATTAATTTTCAAAGTTTAGTGTGTAATTTCTGTGCCACACCAATCATAATTGCAAAATAATCCCAAACATTCCCGAATTTTCCATTAGTTGGCAAACGTCCTTCCCAAGGAGGTTTAATATACCTGAGAGAGCTATCCATTTATGTTCCCATTCATCTTAATGCCAGTTGCTCAGCTGGTGCATACAGCTATGGAAATCTGTGATTTGAATTCTTCCACCATATGCAATAATTTCTGGAAAATTTTGTAACCAATCACCTGAGCCCTCATGCGACTTATCACTCTATATTAGAACTCCTTGATGTTAACATATAAAAATATAAGCCAAAAAAATCTACAACAATATACACTCTCAGAAAAATTTACCATCAATACAGATGCTGCATCCATTGCGTTTAACATGTTTTCCCACTGACATCCCCCAAGAAAATCTTGAGTTTTCATTGACTTTTTGGGGACGTTCATGTGCAATCAACACATAAATATTATTTTTCCAACATGACTTAGATGCACCATAACTGCCGAAGCTTAACCTTGACCCCCACTGGCCCTGCCCCAACTTCCTACCATTGGTTGAACCAGAAGTTGACATGTCAGAACGCTATGTTTGATCTATGTTTTAATCACACCATAAAAGAGTTTACACTCTATAGGAAGTCGACCTACGATTAGTTTACTTCAATTTAACACACTTCACCTCTGAGTTTCGGGATTGGCGATACAAGTGTATGAATTTGTTTGCACTGGATGTATGCAAGGTGAGGTTCACTCACCAGAATGGAAGATGGTGTCCAGACGCACTTTCCTCGCCCTCATAAACCGACCGATTTGTTCCAGCTCACTGTGTCGGACTAAATCCTGGAATACAACATCATTTGTGAAGTGCACAGCCCGGGCAGGTTTGAGGACTACAGTAGGAGTGTGCTGTACGCTTGTCCGGGCCGAGCTGCTCTGCCGGGACGGCTTGCTATAGATGGGGGTGTAAGTGGAGGTGGGCTTGTACGCAGGTGTGTAAGCCGGTGGAGTGTAGTATGATGGTGTGTGGAGTGTAGTAGGGCTGTACTTTGTAGGACTGTAGTAGCCAGGTGAGTATGAGCTGCTGGAGTAGTGTGACGGTGTGTAATGAGTGGAAGTGTAGTGTGTGTTGGAGCGTGTGTACTGTGACACCGGGTACTGGTAGCTGTACTTCATTTCCGCAGACGCCACGGCTTTGCCTCCCCCTCAGCTTTAGGCTCAAGAGGAGGACAAAATAAACTCTGAAACTCAAGTCAAGCTCCACGCAAGAGTAAATCCTTTTTTTGGGCCAGGGGGATCTTGAACCTTCACTTTGGGTTCACACTGTCTTCAGTGTTTACAATCCGCTTCAAGCCCGAAATAATGTCACTTTTCCAGAGGAATCTGTTCCTTGGTGAGGGGATTTGTTTTCTTGTGAAGTTTTGTTAGTTTATCTGTCCCATCATCACTTGTTTCATCAACTTTATTGCACGGTGTGCACAGTCTGCTCTTCTGACAGTGAAGGTTAAAGCAGGGTCCTATATACCCTTTGCAGGGTTATTTTAGGGATGTCATCCCTTGTATCGAGTGACTGTGGTGTAACTCCTCCCACCGTACTTTCACATGCACATCAAGTTTCGACTCCACCCCCTATGACTGCACCAGTGAATGTTCTCTGAGCAGCCTGCAGGGTCTCCTTTGAAAAACGTGGACAATGTGTGTTTACCAAAATAAATGAGCTCATCCTCGATGGCGTGATTGAGCACATGGGCAACAGCTGAAGGGAATGAGCATTTTATGAGAGGAGCTTCACTCTAATACCTGCAAGAGACATGTGTAATCATGTTGATCGTAGGTTTTGGAAATCCACACAGCTCAGAGAACACTGTGCACTGATTCTCGAGCACTGCGACTAAACAAGCTACAGGGCTGAAAACAAACAATTTTTTTGGATTGATGTGCCAACATGTATTGAGAATACAAGACAGTATCCAAATGAGTGTCTACTCAACGGCATTATTTGAAATATCAAAATAAGCATACATACATACATAAATAAAAGAGAAAAAACAAAAGATATTGAAACTATATTTGGAAGTATGTGATTCCAAATGCAGCCAAGTTGTTACGCTATTGACAAAATAATCATATTCTGCAAATAACACATTAAAAAAATATCAAATTTGTTGGTCTAATGTTGTTAGCTCTTCACAGTGTACTTGCAAAGAATTTCTTTAAAACGTGGGTAACAGAGTTGATGCAATGGTTGTGAAAATACAAGAATTATGAATGTTGATATGATGACAAAAAGCAACTGTGAAACCTATAACAATTTTGGTAACACTTTAGAATAAACTTATTCTTATTCACTATTAACTACGTCTTTTCCCTCAACAAATTCCTCATTTGCTGCTTATTAATAGTAGGTAAGGTAGTTGTTTAGTTTAGGTATTGGGTAGGATTAGGGATGTAGAATAAGGTAATGTAGAATAAGGCATTAATATGTGCTTAATTAGTACTAATAAATGGCTAATATTCTAGTAATATGCATGCTAATAAGCAACTAAGAGACCTTAAAATAAAGTGTTACCAAAATTTTTCAAAATGAGCCTCTTCGTTGTTTTTTTTTTAATTCAAAATTCTAAAATGTAATATATTTTTAACTCAGCTTTGATAAACAGAGAAACAACTGAAATGTTACATTTGAGTTAACATTCTAGTGATAATGTTTGTTTAATAATAAGGTTTGAATCTTTTGATTAATTTTAGAGTGTATATGTTGATATCTGCAAAACTAATGGTATAGGAACAATGATGGGAAAGGTTTTGTCCCATGTCTAGAATCAGTGCTCAAACGTGTGCAAAAGATTACATACAAAATGACATAAATATATTGTCAAATAAAGATATTTAATTTCATTAAAACAAAAATCATTGTTTTAGCAAGAAGCTGTTTTATATGAATATCCCAGTATGCATATAATAGACTGAAAAGGCAGTGATACTCAGTTAGCTCACACATGCATATCAGGCTGAATCGGGTTTGTTATCATTGCTCGATGTGTTCCACACAGAGGAAAAACATGACATGATTTACCCGAAAGCACACATCAACTCATCACTTTATTGAGACAAAGCACAAACAAGCATCTAAACACGGGCTGTGTGCTGCGCCAGTGCATTGATTCTGTGTTGGGTCACACGGCTGTAAATCAGGCCTGCTAAATTTACCATCGCCCTCAGTATTGAACTAAGTAGGACATATGGTGCAGGCACACAAAAATTAGTTCTTTTCAATTTCAGTCGGATCATTGATTCTATTTCTGTATGCAGTGTTGGGGAGTAACTAGTTACATGTAATGGTGTTACATAATATAATTACAAAATAAATGTTACCGTAATTTGTTACAGTTACTGAGAAAAAATGAGTAATTAAATTACAGTTACTTATGAAAATGTTATTGATTACAAAGGGGTTACATCTGAATATTTCTTGTATTAATATTTGCCATTTCTTGTTATGATTTTAAATCTTATATAAGCTCAGAACGATCTCAAAGGAAAAAGAGGTGCTAAAGTGCTGCCTGCTTTAAATGTTTGGAAATAATTAACAGTTGAAAACATTTGTTAGAAATGTAGAAAATGTAATCAGTTACGTTGAAAGTTATGTAAGTATGTAATTGAAATGGTTACACTACTTATTACATTTTAAATAGTGTAACTGGTAATCTGTAACCTATTACATTTCCAAAGTAACCTTCTCAACACTATCTGTATGTCGTGATGGGACATACAAAGCTGCTTTAGCCATCCTATATGAGGAATTCATTACACTCTAAAAAATGCTGGGTTAAATATAACCCAGCGCTGGGTTATATTTAACCCAGCATTTTTTTAGAGTGTATGTGATAATGCGGTTGAATTAATTTTAAATTAAATGTATTTTTATTACTAATAAAATGTATACATCAATATTACATTCAATTAACACCTTATTTTAAGGTGAGGTAATTACACGTTACACATACTTACTTTAGTAAAAAAAATCAGTTATGCATAATTACAAACAACTAGCCATAACCAGTACAGTACAGTAGTCAATTAAGAGTTTTTATTTGTTCAAGTAAAAGTTTAGGTAGGAAGTTCAAGTAGGCCGTTTTTTCCTAACAAAATTAAAATATGGCTTCTCAAATGAGAAATCAAATGCTCAAATGCAATGTAATTTCCTCATCCGGGGAAGCATGAACATGTATAAAAAATCTAATTAAAAATAATTTGTGTCTGATATTTAATTGTCATTATCAACCCAGTATAAACCTGTCATAAATAAATCTATAATTTAATGCTCAAATCATAAATCAAATGCTCCATAACAAGGAAAAAGTGTAATCATAAATTAAATAATACAAACATTATTTCCCATTTGTTTAATGGAATATATTAACCCAAAATAGATATTTTGTCATTATGGACTCACTTTCTTGTTGCTGTATTACATTCTTTCTTCCGTGAAACACAAAAGGAGAAGTTTTGAAGAATGTTCACACACACTCTTTTCTGTAGGGTGAACGTGTACATTGTTTACATTGCCTGTGAAGCTTCAGAAACAAAAAATCAACATAAAAGTACCATAAAAATATGTTAAAAATATGTGCTGTGTTGTGTTAACAGACCAGTGTTGTTTTACTACTGTTGAGATACTATGATGTATATATATATATATTTTTAATATTTTGAATTAGTTTTCATTTTTGTGTTTTCCATTTTAATTTAAATTTTACTTTAAAAATGTAATAATTTTGAAAAAAATATGTCTATATAGTGGTTTTATTCATTGTTTTTTACTTTTTATTTCATTTTAAGTAAGGAAAATGTTTGTTTATTTTATTTTATTGTTTTAATTAACTACAAACCCTAAACAGACTGAAATGTAAGTAGCTATTCACTGCTAAAGTAGCTCTTGAACCTCATCTACATATTCAGTCTCTTGATTGGTTGCAAGTTATGTGAGAACCAATGGAGTTTGGCATCCACTTGGCATGACAAGTCTTTGTACGACAAGTTTGGTTATGGAGAAGTGCACATTTCGAAGAAGTCGTCGAAAAAGTCGAAGAAGAAGTCATCGATACAGCAGAGGGCATGGTTTTCAATAAAAAGCTATTATATGGCTTCATAAGACTTGCATGGACAACATGGTGTTTGTGATGTTTTTCTGAGATCCCAGATCAGTGTATACTTCCACTGAGCAGCTCAGACATTCTGCCTAACATCTCCTTTTGAGAAATTCCCCACATCCAGTCATATACTGCCATTACACAGAGATGATATCTTTTCCCTTTTTAATTAAATCCTGGCAAACCTGATTTCTTCTTCATGACCTTCAGTAGCCCCTCACTGCAGAACAAAGATCCAGGGAGCGGGATTGGATTGGTTTAGGGGTGGAGATGGTAGGTTTAGGGATCAGGGGGTGGAGATCTGGATCCAACCTCACCCCCTGGATCTTGTGTTCTGCAGTGAGGACCATCTCATGACCTTCAAGGACTTGAAAAGGTCAGTCTGATGTACGTGCCTGCTCTCACATAGCTGGTCTGTGTTCTGAGCAGTCATTTGTGTCTTTTCACCAGCCTCTGATCCTCAGGTCTGACCCGCACCACTGCAGCTGTCCTCCAGGAGCATCTGAGCCACTTCCATCCGAATTTCAAAGGCCTTGGTTTCAGGCTACAGGATTTCACAGGAGGTGTCATCCAGCCAAGAGAAATAGCAAGGACATAATCCATCTCAGCTCATATTATCAACACTATTGTGACCTGAAAAGGACACGACCAGCATGCAATAATATCGGGTATTAGGACATCTTGATGTCAACAAATTTGAGGATGATTTTGAAGATGATATGATACACATCGCAAGAGATATGTCACTCTATACCTTATCATACATTGTATACATTGGGGATCCACCTCTCCTGTTGTTCAAGTCACTTTTGTCCAGTCATTTTGTGTGTTTCTGAGAAACACCAGTTTTGACGGCCTACCATTTCTCAAAATTACTTTTTTCTCCTGCACTAGTTTTATTCCTGTCGATATTCTGAGGGGTTTTACAGAGGAGTTTGCTTATATAACGTTCGTCCTATTTATATAACATTTTATTCCTGAAAACATGATGATTTTTCAGATTTTTCTGGCTGTTGACAGTATTTTCTGATTTATGGAGTGATAAAAACCTTTAACTCCACTATGTCAACATGTAACATAATGAAACAAGAACTTTAAACCTGGCTTCATACAGTGGATTTCTCTTCCAGAAATGATTGTAAAATTGAGCATATTTAATTAGATAATGCCTGATTTGCATATTAAAGCATAGTATTTCAGAAAACTTGCAATGCAAAACATTTGTCTTAATGTAGAGTGATTAATCAACTGGGGAAATTATGGCGATATATATTGTTTAAAAATTTTACCCTAATCGCCTGTAGTGTGGAAAAATTTTATATTA